TGTCTTACGTTGCCCACCAGCCAGCAAGAAGCAGACCCAGTGACCATTTTCTACTGGGCAACAGTTGGCTTCCTAGCAGGGCTGTGCTGTTGCTGGTCATCCTGGCAGAGCACGGTCCCAGCATGGGGGGCTGAGGACATTGCTGGCTTGGAGGAACATGGGAGGCCAGTCTGAAGATGGCAGATGCAAGATTTCAATGTGTCTGGAGCAGCAGGTGGTTAAACGCTCTCCCTGGAATGGCGACTATGGCAAGGGGAAGCAAAGGAGGGAGCTGGGAATTGCCATAACCCCAGCCCAGGGCGGATGGAACCAGTGGGTGTTGGAGAGGATCAGCTCCATGCCATGCAGGTACAACCCAGCCTGCACAGGGACTCAGCAGCACAGACCCCAAGTCTTTATCAACACAACGATTACCAAGAGCTAAACACGCATGACCAAACCATCTCTGTCCCCAGCTTTGTCAAGAAATAAAAGCAGGACACAAGAAGGGAAAAGAAGGGACGAAGATCAATCACAAATCGCAGAGCAGGAGGACACGACGGGTCAAAGCAGAACATCAACAGCCATGGATGAAACCAAGCAGTAAAGCAGGGACACAAGCATGGGTGGCACGGCCACCCCCGTAGCATCCGTGAGCGCCCGGACAGCCTGCCCATCCCTCTGCGTGACGTGGCAGCGGCTTGCAGAAGGCATCCTGCTGCCAGCAGCCCTCGAGGCCGTGGCCACCTAAGCGTGCCGCTCACCGGAGTCACTCCCTGGGGCAGGCACTGGAGAGCAGGACACCGGTGGGAAGGTCCGCCGGCGGGCTCCCCGTCCCAGGCGCACCCCCCCGGGGAGGGGCCACCGGCCGCAGGCACACAAGTCAGGCTCCGGGTGTTTGCTTTCCATTCTCCCAGTCCGACGATAACCACTCGCTCCCTGGCCAAGGCTCCAGCTCACCATGCTAAAATTCAGAAGGTATTTGATCACGTAAGTGGATTTTTTTTTTATTTATTTAAGTAAAATACCGTTTCCTTAAGTAAAAATCCTATTTCCATCCTACCCAGAGGTCGTGCCCTTGTAGGTCCCTCCGCGTTGAGAAATGGCTGGAGATCGAAGAGGTGATGGGAACGGGCAGAGGAGCGCTTCTGCTCCGCATAAATGCAGGGAGGTCTGAGTTGGTGGAGCTTCCTCTTCTAGCAAAGTTCCAAGGGCAGCACCTCTTCCTGGCGTGCTAGGCAGGAAAACAGCATCTTTTGTAAGGAAGAAGAACGGCAAAGACCTTGGTGGGGCGAGTAGGGTCCTGGGTGAGGGCACACCGCTCCCAGCTCCGCGTGCAGAAAGGTGGCCCCGCGCAAGGCTGGCATGGCCAACCCAATGAATGCATCTAGGGTGAGGTGCCCTCTTCCACAGCCTCTGTTTCGGAGAGGAGCAGGGAAGAGCAAGGCTTGACTTCATGGCAGTGCCTTCTTGCCAGGGGAGGGCATTTCAGGGCAGGACAGCCTTTCCCCATGCACCTGCAGCATCTGGGGTGTTGCCCCCCACGCCATGGTGCAGGGGACCTGGGGACTTTCCAAATCCAGGTTTTTCAGGGAGAGGTTGGGCACCGACGCAGGCAGGCAGTGCCTCCGTGCCCTCGCTGTGCTACCTTATCTTCTCCTGCGCGTCCCGACGGACCGCTGTCCCCGTTTTCCCATTTATTGGGACGTAAGGAAGGAAGCGGGCTGCTGCCGGTGTACCTGCCGTGTGCGTTCATTCCCCGTGCAACGTCGCTCGCTGCCTGGAGGGTCTCTAGCCACAGAAAATCAAAAAAAGTCATTTTCTGCCACCTCTCTGCCTGGTGAACTCGGCCTCGGCCACCTCCCGCAGCGCCCGGTGGTCGGCTGAGACCCTGCAAAGCTCAGCGAGCACCGTCCGACCACGGACCCATCCCGACATATTTTTATGTTGGACAAGGAAGGGGCACAGGTCGCAGGGAGGCAGGTCCTCTTCTCTGCTTCAAGCAGAGAGGGGAAAAAGGGAGGGGAGATCTGCAGTGCCCACTTCCAAGCAGCACCTTGGGACCCCCTCCTCTGCCAGGAGCAGGCAGTGAGGCATGGCTGGGGGCCATCATCCCTCGGAAATAAATGGCCAACAGATTGGGTTTGGATTAAATCCATTGAGCCAGCGTAGGAGGAGTCAGATGCTGTGGCTCCGGCAGCCAAAGGCGTCTTTGGGGGGCTGCATCCATCTCTGCACCCCGCTTTGTCACAGCTGGAGGTGACAGCACACGGGCTCTGATCCGCGCGGGTTCTGCAGCTATAGCCTGCCCGCAGCCGGAGGCATTTCCACGGAGAGAAGGCTGTGAAGGAGTTACCCATGGAAAGCAGTTGAGCCTCGTTGTCCAGCTGCAAATCATCCAGCTGCTCCAGCCTCCGAGATAAAATCCATCTCTGCACCCCGCTTTGTCACAGCTGGAGGTGACAGCACACGGGCTCTGATCCGCGAGGGTTCTGCAGCTATAGCCTGCCCGCAGCCGGAGGCATTTCCACGGAGAGAAGGCTGTGAAGGAGTTACCCATGGAAAGCAGTTGAGCCTCGTTGTCCAGCTGCAAATCATCCAGCTGCTCCAGCCTCCGAGATAAAGGCTTCTCTATGCCACACGTGTCGTTTTATCCTGGTTTTGCTGCCTTCAGTGCAGCTTCTTGGCATCTTCGGTGCAAACTTCGGTGCTGCCAAAGCTCTTCCTTTCTCGGCACATGTGCGTCCCACCAGAGCCAGCCTGGAGGAAGGGCTCTGGCTTTATGCTGGCTGGATCAGACCCAAACAGCCAGCAACACGTTGCATGTTCTCAACTGGTTGTTCAAGCAGCGCAATGGTCATCTCAAAAGAGGCAGCAGGCGAGCGGCAAAAGGACCTGGATCTTTCACCGATTCTCTGCAGGTTGAAAGCTCAGTACTGACCAGGGACTTCTGTGGAAGCGAGTCTAGAATTATATCTCCACAAAATACAGATACCAGAGTAGCAGAGGGTGCCGCCTACCTCAGCACCGCTTGCCGGGGAAGCGTTGCATCATTCTGCCTTTGGTACTGGTTGCTCATGCAGGTCTCCCCAAAGAGGGAGTTTGGGCATATCGCTAAATACCACGGTCAGTTAGCTCTTCATCCCCTCCTTGCCGCTTTTCTGAGACTGGCCAGGCAGACAAACTCGGTATCAGCTGCACCTCGAGTGATCGGAGAGCTGGATTGAGCCTCCAGCAAGACGTGTCCAGCAGCGTCGCTTCATCCTGGAGCAACTCCTCCTTCACTGCCTTCTCCCTCTTTGGTCTCTCTGTCCATCGGTGACCTTCCACATCACAGCAAGCCTCACCTTGCAGCAGCTCTGGGGCAGCCTTGAGTCTCTGCGGCAACCTTCTCCCTAGAACATCTCTCGTCATTTTAAGCACTGTTTAAGCATTTGGAGTTTTTCTGATCCGTTGCTTGTCACACCCGTTCATCTTCGACAGCACGAGGCTCTCCTTGTGCCGCTTGCGTGGCCAGGCAGCGAGCCATGCGCACGTTCACCAGCTGCCTGTCTCCCGACCAAGCTTGGCAGTCTGCTCCTCCAGCGGAAAACGAGCACGGGTACCTCCAGGTTGCCCTTGGGTTCTGGGGATGCTGTGCTGCTGACCACTGGGGTGTTCACCCTGCTAGGAGTTACGTGCCTTTTGAATTCTCAGCAGCATCGGCATGACCTAAAGACCTCCCAGTCCCAAGTACTGCAGACATGGAAAGTCTCCCAGGAGGAGCTTAGTGTTTCGACTCATTGAGTGACGTTACCGAGAGCAGGGCAGAACCGTACCCACGAGTGTCCCAACCGACACGCAACCACTGGAAGCAGTGCTGTAGAAAGCAAACTACAGTTGGTTGTAATGCTCGGTCAACGGTTTTTCTGGAGCAAATCCAAAATTTTTTTCAATAGCAAACCCAAATTCCTCACCGGTACCAACAGGATCCATGTGACTGCTTCTGACAGCCCGTGTTTGCCTCATTGCTAGCTCATCAAGCTAGTACTTCTCCCACGTGTCACAGGACTACCCAGAGTAGGAGATAAAGCACCATGGAGATAAAGAAACTCTGGGACAAGAAGGTCGGTGTGGTCCCAGGCCCACGCTCTTGGTCCAAAACTGACCACTGAAGGAAGCGGCCAAACCAACGAACACAGAGTAGCTGTTGGGATGTGGCTTCCAAGCAGGCTCTGCCCAAACTTCTGCTCTCATTCATTCCTCCTATTTAGATCCCTCCGTTCCGTGCTCAGCCAAGCAGCCTGTGCCTGCTCCCTCCCTCTGGGGGGGGAGAGCAGACACCTGGGGCTCCTGGGCTGGTCTCCCACCCAAGGAGGAGCCCACGACAGAGGATTTGACCAGGTTCTTGGTACAAATCATCTCCTGCCAGGCAACAAGTTCCCTGGGTAGAAACCAACAGAAATGAAATGCAGGCTAATCCTTTTTTTCCAGGAAGCTTAGTCCCCCAGCTGCTCTGCTTAAGATTAAGACTATGATCAAGCTCCATGAGGGTTTGCCGGAGCCCGCGCGGGTGGCAACCGCCTCCAACGGCAGCATCGGGAGAAGGGGAGAGCGGGGAAAACAAAGTCTTATGGAATTTGTTTATAAAGACGGGATATTCCCGATATTCCTAGGCCAGGCAGGGCAGGGCAAACGCAAGCGGTGCCAGCTCCAGCTGCCGAGGTGGGAGCTCGGGCTGTGCCGGTACGGCGTTCCTGAGCAGCCGAGGGACTTTCGTGGTTATCGCTGTTTACCTTTCGGTGCGATATACGTGTGTCCCAGGTGGAAATTTCCACCAGGCTACAGCGCTGGAGCACAGCCCTCTGAGCTTCGTCGGTTATCGCTGCCTCTGCGCCTCTTCCGCATGCGAAAACATGACCTTATCTTCAAAAAAACCTAAAAAAACATAAAAAAAAAGGTCTCAAGGCCTCTTTCCCCCCTGCCTCACACACGCGTTTCTTCTACCTACTAATGGTCTGAAACGTCTGCTTTCCTTGTAGGAAGTTGAAAGCAATATACAGGTGCCAGCCAGGTCGGCTCTGGGTCTTCTTCAGCCTCCTCATCTTCCTCTTGGTCACGCTTCAAGTCGTGGAGAAGCTGCAGCCTCCCAGGTAGGTCCCAAGCAGGATTGCAAATCCTGCTCCTCATCCTCCAGCCTTCCACCACCCGCCCAGGTGGGCTCGAAACCATCCTCCTGAAAACCACCCAACAGCGTCTTCTTTAGACAGGGAGGAAGGGTCAGGTGGGAGAGGACCCCTCTGGGGCTCTCACATCACCCTGGCCAGAGCTGAGCCCGCTCTGGGTCCAGACCAAGCTGCTCTGGGCTTCTTCCTGGCTGGCCTCAAAACTGTACAGCCCTTGGGCATCCTCCCAGTCCTCCCAGTCTGGGATCATCTGCAAGCTTTCCTCCAGCTTCTCCAGGCCACCTGCTCTTCTCTCTCCTTGCCTTCTCTTGCTTTGCCCCTTTCCACCAGCCCACGGTGCTCCAGGGGGACAGGGGCATTAGTGCATCACTGCTGACCCATCCTTCTCTTCTCACACCCACCCCAACCTCCCAGGGCAGTGGCCAAGTGCTACACGCACCAGTAACGCCCACCCACCCCAAGGAAGCTGGGGGAACGCGCTTTGGGGTGTCCGCAGGGGGGGGTTGGTTGAGCTGCAGAGGAGCTGCCCTCTTTGCATGCTCCTTCCGTCCTCTGCCCGATTGCAGCTGAGCCTCACGTCCTCCCTGTTGCAGAAGCTGCCGGTGCGAGCTGGAGCGTGCCCTGCAGCCGACCGTGGACCACGTCCAGGAGAAGCTCAGCTATGCCCTCCAGACCCCTGACCCGCTGCGGCAGGCAGGACATTTTTCCGATGCATCTGTACTTCAGCCAGGAGACCCCGCTGGAAAGCAGCCCAGGCAGCCAGGAGGAGCCCTGGACGCGGCTACCTGTGGAGGACAGCAAGATGGTGAAAGCCCATCCTTCATCCATGAGGCTGACATCCCAGCTTCCCAGCCTGAGAAAAACAACCAGAGAAGGTCCTTCTCCAAGTTTTCCTGGGAGGATCTCCGCAGTTTTGGGAGAAGCTGATGCTGTCACCAGCAAGCTCATAACCTTTGCAAACAGGATGACCACAGAGGAGCACGGGAGAACATCACCACCAGGAACGAGACAGGTGGTGGTACAGAGCCAGTCTCAGCCTCAAGCCATGAGTTCCCCGCACCATCGGTGGGGCAGCTTGCTTGAACACCCCTTGCCAAATTCAGCTCAACCTCCGCAAGCAGAGGGCTTTTACCAGACAAACCTGGAGAGAGGATTTTTCCCAAGCTGGACAGAAGTCTCTAAGGCTGAGGAGGGGACTCCTGGAGAAGGCCAGCAGGCCAGAGGGGTCTCCTCTCCAGGGGAGACGTGCGAGCCCAAGACTGACATTGTTTTTCTCAAAGTCCACAAGAGCGCCAGCAGCACCGTCATGAACATCCTCTTCCGCTTCGGCGAGATGCACAACCTCACCTTCGCCTTCCCCATCGGGGGTGGCAACCAGCTCTTCTACCCGCACCACTTCTTGGCGAGGTTCGTGCAGGGCTTTTCCTCCAGGAACCCTCGGCGGTTCAACATCCTCTGCCACCACATGCGGTTCCTGCAGCCGGAGGTACGGGCAAAGCCACGACGCCTTGGGAGGGGGAGAGGGGCTTGTAGGGAGCAAGGTGGGACACCCATAGTGCACATAAACTCTTCAGGGATGAAGCTGAAGAGTGACAGGTTTGCCCCCAGGTGCCTTGCGTGTTACGGGCATCTCCTGAGAGCTTCTGTAAACAGGTTTAATGAATCATTGTGCTGTGACCTGAGACAAGCCAGGGGACAGCATCTGCAGCAGTCAGGAACTATCATCTCGTTCTTGTCTGGTGGGCCCGTGGAGACGTCTTGCTCCCTGGACAGGCCTAGAGAGTACCAGCTGCAAGAGGAGAACGTCTTAAGTGTGTCAGCTCAGGTCAGTCAACGGCAAGGAGACAGGATGTATCTCAAGCCCAGTCAGGCCACCCAGCTGTAGCAGCATGGGGCAGGGAGCTTTGGTCACTGCTCTCCCCACGTACCTCTTCTGGGGCTCCCCACAGCTGACACAAATGCTCCTTTGATGAGCTGCACCCTGAAACCCTCCCCAGCACCCACCAACTCCAACCCCAGGGAGCATTTCTGCTGTCCAGCAGAGCGCAGGATTGCAAGCAGGCAGGTCCCTTCTCCCTACCCCACTTTTAGAACCTCCTTTTTCTCCTCCGCAGGTGGAGAAAGTGGTGTCCAGCTCAGCTGTCTACTTCTCCATCCTGAGGAACCCCGTGCAGCTCATGGAGTCCTCCTTCTCATACTACAAGGGCACGTCAGCTTTCTCCCATGCCCGCAGCCTGGAGGAGTTCCTCAGCCAGCCCTACCATTACTACAACCCTGCCGCCGGCGACAGCAGAACCTCATGACGTTTGACTTTGGCTTCAATCCCGACGGAGAGTTCTCAGCCGAGCGGGTGCAACTCATGCTGAAGGCCATCGAAGCGTCCTTCGACCTGCTCCTCATCTCTGAGTACTTCGATGAGTCCATGGTGCTGCTGAAGGAGATGCTGTGCTGGGACCTGGACAGCATCGTCTCCTTCCCGCTCAACATCAGGGACAGCAGCACCAAGTCCCGCCTCTCCGACTCCATCGTGAAGAAGATCAAGGACTGGAACAGGCTGGACTGGGAAATCTACACCCACTTCAACAGGACCTTCTGGGAAAGGATCGACCGAGACATTGGCAGGGAGCGCATGCGGCGGGAAGTACAGGCGCTTCGGGAGAGGCGGGCAGAGCTGGCGAGGACCTGCCTGCAAGGCATGGGCAGCGTGGCCCCGAAGGACATCAAGGACTCTTCCCTGCGGCCACTGCAGCATGGCAACGCCAAGATCTTGGGCTATAACATCAAGCAGGGCTTGGATAAGGAGACGGAACGCATGTGCCGGCGGCTGGTGACCCCGGAGCTGCAGTACAGCAGCACTCTCTACAAGAAGCAATTTCCCCCGAAGCCCCCCAAGACCCACCAGCCCTCTCCCTCTTGGAAGGGCAACGTCCTGCGGCACAGGCTGGGGGGCACCCAAAACTGACCACCTCCAGCCATCCTTCTCCAGCTGCCTTTACTGAGGACAGCGAGGTGCCCAGCTCCTGGGCTTGGGGGCTGCTCGTGCCCACCAAAGCCCCGGGCCACCTCCGTGCAGGACCGCACACGAGCTCTTTGGTGCTACACGCTGCTGTCGCTGCGGAGCAGGACGGGCTGCAACGGAGGGTCCTGGGGGCTCAACAAGACACGACCCTTCCAGGGGAGGTCCTGAGGAGCAAACAGGGCGAAGCCTCGGGGGAGGCGATCCAGGGCTTTGCGCTGCGTAGCACCGACCGCAGCAGCGAGGAGCAGAACCAGGAGGACAGCCCGAGTCCTCAGCACCGCGCTGGGGAGCGCGGGGGCACAGGGGATGGTTCCAGCTGGGAACAGCATTGCTGCCCTCCACCCGGGGCTCCCACCAGCCGGAGACCGCGACGGCGCGGGGCCAAGGTGTAAATCAGAGCGGTGGGGCTTGATTTACAGCTTGGGAAGGAGGGAGTCTGTCCAGCTGGGGCTCTCCTCCACTCCACCCTCGTGCCAGGGTGCTGGAAAAGCAGCCTGTTCATTAAAACCAGCAATATTCGCCGTCACTCCCATTAAGTCCCCCGTAATTACACCGGTCTGCCCATAGACAATCTCCCCAGCAGCCCAAGACCCAAACCTCGAACATTTGAAAATGTCCTGGGGGAAAGAAAAAAAAAAAAAGGGAAAAATTTTTAAAAAAAACTGTTTTTTTTTCCCTAACTCTGCAGTTAGGTGTTGCCTTCAGCTGCTGCACTCGTATGCTGCGTGTACAGGATTGGCATCCTACCCCGGAGCGGGCACCGATACCGCGGTGTCATACCCCGCGTTAAATACCCGCGTGTCCGAGAGCAGCCAGTTTAACTGGGATGAAAACCAGAGTGCATTCCCTGGAAGGGACTGGGCAGTGCTGAGCATCTGGCCAGGCATGATGTGGGGGCATCGTTTTTGGGGCATTGTTTGTTCCATAAAGTTTCATCTCCGAGGCACGTTCGTGTATCGCTGCGTCGGTCCCTTCCCTCGTTTCTCCTCTTGGGATGTGCTGCAGGCTCACGGTTTGCAGAGGTCCAGCTCCACTCTGGGTTCCTGGGTGGTCTCCAGCTCACCCCAGAGGACAATCCCACATGGGACCAAGGGTGCTGGGCAGCCCATGGGCAGCATAGCCACCGTCACCCCCAAAAAACCCACAGGGGACACAGCTGGGGGTGCAGGGAGGAGCAGGGGTGGCACCCGGGGCAGGGAACACTGCGTATCCGGGTACCAAACCTGCATCTGACACCTTCGCTCCCGATTTTCATCAGGTGCCACTTACTCACTGTTTGCAGCTCAGTAAATGGGAGCAGATCTTCCCTGCTCGAGCTCTTCCCATGGTGGCCTGGGGTAGGGGACACTGGTACAACCAAAGCACCGCGTGCCCCCGCGCCCACTCGCACAAAAAGCCCAGCCCATCCCAGGGCACGCACCGTTGATTGCTCCGAAAAGCCATGGGGCACCAAGAATATAGTCAACTCAGGAGTTTTCTGCCCAGAGAGGTCCTGAAAAACTGACTGTTTTCTGCAAAATGCCATTTTTGGCAGGGGCAGGAGAGACCTCTGGGTCTCAGACTCCAGCCGTGCCCAGCGGTCCTGCTCCAGGGATGCTGCTCATGGGATTGCCCCAGCCCCTGCTCTTCCCCATGGAGATACCCCCACAGTACAGCACCCGTGGGGTGCCCTGGCCCCACCATTGCCTGGAGGGATCCCCGTTTACCTAAGCAGGCGTTTCCACCCAAATTATCCCCCTTCCAGAGCAAGCGGCAGGCAGGGCAGAGTCAGTTTGGACATCTTGGTGGACGAGAAGCTCAATATGAGCCGGCAATGTGCTCTTGCGGCCAAGAAGGCCAACCACATCCTGGGCTGCATCAAGAGGAGCGTGGCCAGCAGGTCGAGGGAGGTGATTCTCTCCCTCTACTCTGCCCTCGTGAGACCTCACCTGGAGTATTGCGTCCAGTTCTGGAGCCCCCAACATAAGAAGGACATGGACCAGTTGGAGAGGGTCCAGAGGAGGGCCACGAAGATGATAAGAGGGCTGGAGCACCTTTCCTATGAGGACAGGCTGAAAGAGTTGGGGCTGTTCAGCCTGGAGAAGAGGAGGCTCCGGGGTGACCTTATAGCGGTCTTCCAGTACCTCAAGGGGGCCTACAGGAAAGATGGGGAGAGGCTGTTCAGGAGGGCCTGTTGTGATAGGACAAGGGGTAATGGTTTTAAAATAGAGGGAGGTAGATTCAGATTGGATATTAGGAAAAAATTTTTTACCATGAGAGTTGTAGAACACCGGAACAGGCTGCCTAGAGAGGTGGTGGATGCTCCATCCCTGGAGACGTTCAAGGCCAGGTTGGACGAGGCCCTGAGCAACCTGATCTAGTTGGAGATATCCCTGTTCCTTGCAGGGGGGTTGGACTAGATGACCTTTGAAGGTCCCTTCCAGCCCTAACCATTCTATGATTCTATGATCTCCATGGTGCCTCCCATTTTTAGGGAATCAGATGAGCCGACCTCCTCCCGCAGAGCTCACAGGAATGACATCGCTCGCCTAAACACCAATCACACCATTTGTTTTTATTATTACTTCTGCAAACAGCAATTTTATCTTTAGAAATATTTCACGTAGACACGGGTATGAGCCCAGGGATGCACTCGCTCGCCCGCACCGGCTGCGTGCCAGCTGCCTGGGTCTCGTTTTTTAGCCACAGACACTTTGTGCACCATTTCTTGATGCTTTACAAGCACATGGAACCCAGGTCAAGCACCGTGACCACAGAGGAGCAGGGGCTCCCGTGGCCAGCGACCTCCCTCGCCCTGGAGCATTTTTAATTCCTCTCCAAGAACTGCCAAGTTCAGCCTGTGCAATTCAAGGACCTCAGTTTAACTCAAAAACCATCAATTTTGGACCAGTACCCATTTAGTAACTCAAAAGATCAAAGCCTGCTTCCTCCTCATCCCAAGTTTCCAAGGCTGTTACCGCTTTATGCTTTGTTTTTACGGCTGCAAGAGACCCAGTCCCGTTATTTCAAGCATTGCACGGTGCAATAACCTTGGAGTTGCTCAAGCCCACCCACGGAACGGTCCTGACTTTCTGTAAGCTTCCTGGCAGTACAAAACAACCAGCAATTCATGCAAAAGTGTAAGTTTTTTGCCCCCCGCTGAGCGAGCGATGCAGGCTTGAAACATCTCAGGCTCTCCAGGGAGATTTTCAAAGCTAATTCCCAAAGGAGCTCAGGGATTCAGGTGTCCTGCAAGGCCAGCTTGGCCGATGCCTTTGCAACGCTTTCCAATAAAATCTCACCCTGCGGTAGGGACCGAACGGGATGAGCAGCGGGATCCTCCGCGTTGGAAACCCGCTCCCAGGAGAGGGGCTGCAGGGACCCCCTTGGCCCCCACCCGTGGCTCAGGCATGAGGCTCAGAGTCGTTCTTCTCCCCTTTCCTCTTCCGCCGCAGTTCCTCGCCCTCCACGTGCGCCACCACCCTTGCCTTGGGTATCTTGTATTTGCTCTTCTGGCTGTAGAGGAGGTTTTTGCGGAAGAGCCGTGGGATGTTGCCTTGGTACAGCAGGAGGGCAGCGAGCATCCCTGAAATGAGAGCACGGACCCCTTCCGTGTGCTGCAGCGGGCATCTCCACGGCTGAGCCGTGATCTTCAGGCCCTTGCCACGACCACGACCAAACCGCAGCTCAGCACCACTGAAGTCCCCACTGACAGCATCCAAAAGCCCCTTGCTGAATTACTTTAAAGCAAATTTAACCATTGTGTCCTTAGTATAGTAGTGCGGCTTGTTTTGACCCAAAAGGGCCATAAATCACACCAGCAATGTCCTTTTCCCGCTCTCTGCATTCCAGGTGGCACATATCCAGTTCTCCATGGTCATCCTGAAGCTGTGGACAACCTCAATAGTAGCTCAGCCCATCATTGCCTTAGAACATTTATGTCTCATCTCCCCCAAACTTTGGCTTGGGGGAGAGTTTTACCTCTATCTCATGTAGAAATTGGGTTAAAAACAATGAAGAGCAAAGGAATGACTTGAGTGACAGGGAAAGGGGACAGAACAGGACACTTGTCACCGGCCAGACCCAAGTTCAGCCCTTTTCCAGGAGCAGCTGGTGTTATCCCCAGCGTTTCTGCCTCGCCCATCTCCCCCCATCCCAACTCCTGCCCCTCGGTACCTCCCGGGCAGATCTCACCTGCGAGGGGCCCCAGCCAGTAAACCTGGATGTAATCCCAAAAGCTGTTCCCCGAGCAGCGGAAGGTGGTGGCCATGGCCAGAGCAGGGTTGAAGAAGGCCCCCGTGAACTGTTCGGCTGTGTGGGAAGAGAAGCATGGCCATCAGTCTTGCTTGGCTCCTTTGGAAGACCAACAAAGAGCTGGACCAGGAGACCCACGATCCCTCCTGCCTGCCAGGAGGATCTGGGAGCATCTCTGCTGCCCAGCTCCAGCAGCTACATCTTTGGACTGTGTAATAGTAGCCCATGGGGAAATCCCACCCTTGTTGCCCTGAGCTTTACGGGAAGCAGAAGAGCTCAGTGCGGGACCGAGGGGACGTTCAAGGACAGGGCTCCCAGTCTTGGGGCAAGCTATAGCTTCTCACATACTGACATTTCACCTGCTGCCTAGGTATCCTAAACTGCCATCTTCATCCCAAAATGAACATTCCCCCAAAAAACAAGTGGAAAACAAACATTTTGGTAATCATCTCTCAAGTCCTGGATGATGAAGAAGGGACCGTTTCTCCTCCCAAATCAGTTTTTTTTCTAAATGACTTAGAAAAGGGCAGGTGCTGCTCACCTGTGTAGGTCAGGAAGGTGACAGTCGCAGCCAGGGCAGGGACCTGGTACATTGGGCGACTCTGTCGCAACTTGAGAAGGACAAGGTGGAGAAGGAAAGAGCAGGTGCCTTCCACAAAGGCGGCGTGGTGCAGAGACGTGTGGATGGAGGAGCTGCACTCTGACGCTATCAGGTTCTGGATGAGGTGGAAATGAGTCAGCTCCCAGGACCAGTAGAGCTTGGTGACAGCCCAACCCATCCCTGTGCCCGCACCCTGGGCCAGCAGCTTGGCAGCAGTGGCTGCGAGGTTGGACTCGAGGAGCAGGAACTCCTGGAGAGAGACGGTCGGGTTGGCGGATGCTCCATCGAAAGAAGCGCCGTGAAGCACGAAGAGGAGGAAGAGCAGAGTCAGGACCACGTCTGGGCCAAAGCCACCACCCCACATGCCGATCTCCGCCAGCATCCTCAGCTCAAGGCAGCTCGTGCACAACTGCAGCGAGCCAGCAAGTTCTCTGGCAAGGCAGACGTATGCTCCAGGAGACAGAAGCCTCTTGGAAAGCCACCTGAGGGCCTGACACACCCCAATAACCAGGAAAAAGAAAGCAATGGAGACGTTCAGGCCAGCCATAGCAAAGGCTGTGCTGTCAGGAAAGACGAGAGTGAACCCTGGGAAGGAGCAGAGAGAGCTTCTGCACCTCCTCTTTATGAAGCCACGGGTAAGCAGACGTGGCACAGCCCGACAGGCTTGGGAAATGCCACACGTGTTGCCCTCTCCTCTGCAGAGCGACGCCTGCTGCCACGGGGAGCCGATGGACTCACCTGCAGCTGCATCAGCCGACAAGTTGGTTTTCCCAGCAAGCAGGTCCTGCTGTTATCTCCACGGCTCAACCCCCAGCATTCACATCTGAGAGCCTGCAGCAGCTTCCCGCAGCTGCTCAGGTCTCCCAGAGGAGCAAAAACCTTCTTCTGTCCCAGCTGAAACCAGGACACCTTCATTTTGTTTCTACTTGGCCCCATAAAATGTAACTCACTCCCCCAACCCCAAAGCCTGGGACATGAGGGGACTCAGAAAGCCAGCAACCCACGCAGGGCGTTCACGTTCCTCCAGGGCAGAGCCACTCTAAGCCACAGCAAAGTCCATCTTTGGCCAATTTGAAAGCCCAGCTTGCTCACTGCGTCCTAACCTTGGCTTGAGTAAGACCTCACCTCGTTTGTTGGTGGCACCAATTGCACGTGCCATTGGTCTGCAGGTGGCATTTTGGCATCAGTGACATTTCAGCTCCTGCTGGTAACACATGTATCAGGGACAGGATCTTTCCCAGTTCCCCCAAAACCACCCCATGGTGTTGTCATCACCTGACTTGTGAAAGCCACACCATCTAAATGCATTCGGGTTACACCTTTGAATACACGATGAAGTCAACAGCCTCGTCAGCTCCAGCAATTGCATCCTCTGCCCCAGCCCCTCCAGGTCACTGGGGACCCTCGGCCTCCCACCACTGAGGGTCTGCAGGAATAAAGGGGATGGTGAGCAATGGAAAGCGCAGGAGGAGTGCAGGCCATGGCAGGAAGGGTGGATTGGGGTGGATAATGTCCTGCTACCAGGGACTCATGGTTAAGAGAGCATAAACAATTCACCCTCCGGATGGGTTGGGGCAATCCCAAGCACAGGCTGGGCGGAGAATGGATGGAGAGCAGCCCTGAGGAGAAGGACTTGGGGGTGCTGGTGGATGAGAAGCTCAACATGAGCCGGCACCGTGTGCTGGCAGCCCAGAAAGCCAACCGTGTCCTGGGCTGCACCCAAAGCAGCGTGGGCAGCAGGGCGAGGGAGGGGATTCTGCCCCTCTGCTCTGCTCTCCTGAGACCCCCCTGCAGTGCTGCCTTCAGCTCTGGGGTCCCCAACATCAGGACATGGAGCTGCTGGAGCAGGTCCAGAGGAGGCCACAAAGATGATCCAAGGGCTGGAGCACCTCTGCTCTGGAGACAGGCTGAGAGAGTTGGGGCTGTTCAGCCTGGAGAAGAGAAGGCTCCAGGGAGACCTTCCAGCACCTCCCAGTACCTAAAGGGGCTACAGGAAAGCTGGAGAGGGGCTTTGGACAAGGGCCTGTAGTGACAGGACACAGGGCAATGGCTTTAAACTGAAAGAGGGGAGATTCCCACTAGATCTAAGGAAGAAATTTTTCCCTCTGAGGGTGGTGAGGCACTGGCACAGGTTGCCCAGAGAAGCTGTGGCT